ACAGTTTAGCAGTATGAAGCATTCCTGGGTCAATATATCCTACAGTAGTAGCTGGAGGCCCACACATGTCCTTGCTAGTGTATTTATTAGAAGTAGCTACCTCAGTCCTTATATTAGTTGTCGTATTTTGCCAAAACTTGACCTTTGGCTCCTGAGAATCTCTAGTGTTCCATGTCAATCTGAAGGAATAAGGAATTAAGGTGATAGTGTAATGGCAGACATACAATAGGGTAGTTGGGTCATTGGTTAGTGCTAGATGAGGCTGCAGTGGCTCATTGGGACTGGAGAATGTGACCTGCTTAGATGTAGCAACAAGAGTAGGAGCATTAAAACCTAGAAAAGAAGGACAAGAGAATGTAATAAACAAATTAATATAATATATAATTTTAAAATTGAAAGGAAATTACTTTCATGCCTTTTTTTACATTTCAATGGTAAAAATTAAAGCAATAATATTACCATCATCATCACTGATACTCAACGTGCTTGGTTGTACTCACCTCCTGTTAGTAATGCAAACACATAAGGAGTCCTCACATTGACCAGACGAATCTTAAAAGAACCTTTACCAGAAGACATATGAGTGGAAGATTCCTTACAATACTAGGAGAGAAAGGGGAGGGACAAAGGACAAAGTGAAAGATTTCGAAACCCATACTTGATATTTGACTGGTGCAATTTTAGATGGGTCGATGGACTCCTCTCCATTTGGTGGAGCATACACACCAATCCAGTCAGTATCTGATGGATGAGATACACCATCCCAAGCAACTGTAACCCAATCCCCTGACTTATTCAACTGATTGCAAGTGACAGTGATAACCACACTAGGATCTAGAAATATATTATATAATAGAGCATCTATGGTGTAACACAGCTACTTTAAATACAGCAAGTCTAGCTGCAAATGGAAAATACTCACTACTATGATCTGATCTACTATGCTACAGTACATGTGTTCCTCTCCTTGTATCTGCCTACCTGTGTTCACAACAGCTTTCTCGTACTTGAGAAAGTCAAAAGGACTCAAGTATTGATGACAAAATCCAACAGAGACTAAGAGAAGTAAGGACAGCCAGCGAATCATTTTTAGATTTGTTTTGACCCACTAATGAATAAATTGTCTAATGAATAATGGTAGAGTGAAGTTTGGTGATTCATGCATGCTGGATTGCTGGTGGTCTATTTAATAATGGTCTTATTTTTATAATATTATAATCTTTGAACTCTTTCTATCTCCTTGCTTAGCTGTGTGTCAATCAAATCCCCATCATCATCATCATCATTGTCAGAGAACATAATCTCAACTTCTGACGATCCTAAAGCTTTGAA